GCTTGGGGTTAACGTGACTTTCGAAGGTGTGATTTTCAGCGACGAGGTTATGGATATATTTGCACTTTCGTTGGCATGATTGTCAACACTAACCCCCCTCATTGAAAATGCTATAATGATCGGGACAGAATCTATGGAGTCATTCCGGAGTTTATCAATATGTGGCAGTCCAAATATGAACGTATAAACCAGTATTTAGAAATAATATTGATTTACCATTAGCTAAGAAGCTACCCAATCACCTAACAAAGAGGCAACAAGGTTGAGCGATGGTTTCGAAGGGACATAAGCCACCAATAAAAACAATTATTTAGATGTTGTTCTCTTTTCCATACAGAAACCCCGGAGTTTCGTTAACTCGGGGACAAAGGCTGAACCACACCGATTCATAAGCTGATGATAAAAAATAATCCGAACTAGAGGCCTTTTGCCTGTTGAAATACTTTCCACCCAGGGTAATCTCCATTTAAGATGGAGGACTGATATCAGCTAGTGATAGCTGCCCAAGGAAACGAGAGTTGAGAGGATTTCGAGGGAGGTAGCTTGACTTGTGCCTGTAGGTGCTCAGTCCATCCCTCCGGATGGTGTTACTGATGGTGAATCAGTGCACCGACGGACATCATAGTTGACTTGCTTACGCCTACGTTCATTCGGACTGTACTCCAAAACAGATGGAAAAGATTGATACCGTTACCAATAGCCACAGTCTCTGTCTACATTTTGGTGCCCAACAGTTCTCGTGTACGTTCCTTAACATTTCAATGAGCTGACATTTAAGGGCTATATGCATTGTCATTTTCGGCTTCTGGATAAACTTTCCTGCGGGCGTTAAGCAAATCATCAGAAGTGAAACAGATCTATCGTTTGTGCTTTGATCGTGGGCCAGAATCCAATGTTGTTCCGATCGAAATGTGGAGGTTCCATTGATCATTGTTCAGTGTTCACTGAGTCCTTCGGTGGATGCTAGAACTAAAAGGCTAAGAAAGAGTTTCACTATGAAGGCCGATTTGAAATATCACTTACATTGTATGGCGAGTTTTCATTTCTAGCGGCAGTGTTATAACTGCTTACCCGGAGTACAAAGAATCTGTCTCGTAACAGAGCATAGTCCGCACCCATAAGAGTAAAACGGCGAGAGCAGTAGTATTGAATAAATCCTGCCAGTGGTGACTGTTAGTGATGTGGTCGATTCAAGTTCAAAGCCAAATAGAGGTGCGCGTTATTGTCGTTTCCTGTGGGAGAAGGTGGTATTTGATAGGAATGACCTTTCGTTGTGATTTGGGATCTCCGTGGCCGTCCGGATGCCTGCAGACCGCTTAGGCACCTTTCTGATTCTTTCACGGATCCCACTAGTGTGATGAAGTCACACACAACCAATAAAATGTCCATTGGGTGAAAGCTTTAAAGAAGTTGAGAAAGTTCATTCTATAATTCATACTACATTTCAGGTTCACTGGAAACAGTCACTGCACACACGGATAATAGGAATAAGCACTGAACTCAATCCTCGGGACATATAACGGAGTCAATAACCGAGTGATCATTATTGTCTGATCATTACTGATACCTAGCGCAATGCCTGATAAAAGCTACATCGCGAGGATCAGTTGCCAAATCTTCTAACACACGACGAGTGAAGCGTGACTAACAGGTTTGGTCAAGAGAACGCAGAAATATGATTTAAGTAGTGTCCTGTATACGCGTTCCGAAGACAAACGTCTAAATGAAAAATTTCAAGGATTCTAACCAATGCAATTTGTCGGTCGACCTGACAGAACGTGTTTGTTTGCAAGCCGGTGATATATATTGATTCCGTAAGAAATGAGTGGTTGCAAAAAGGGGGGGCATTTAGAAGAATTTGGGAGTGAAAAGAAGAAAGAAATTATTTTGTAAAACGGGAGATTTTCGTAAATGTTCACATATTCAACCCATTTCTCTAGCGTGTTCATTTCGGCCTCAAATGTGTGCACTACACGGCTACCAATCATAGTTACAATGCAGTACGATTATGTCCCTTAGTATTACTGTGAAAAGTTTGTTGACACTAAATGCAGCTCAGAGAACCCGTTGCCGCTACCAACACTACCACCACCACCACCACCACCTCAACAAACATCACCAGCAGCAGCAGCACTGCCACCTCGAGCTTCATACATGTAAACTTAGATATCAAAATAGCAATGTTTTTACCTTTTCCCGTATGAGCAATTTCCTATCAAAAGTTGAAATCTGTGACTATTTCTTTGTATATACAACTAGTTATTCTTGCAAATGCGATTCATTTCGTTGTAAGAACGTATTCAGTTCTATTCGCTGCTTCCCCCGCCCTATTTAAATATTTCTGTTAATCAAAGGGTCATACGGGCTCATCTCACGGCCTCTTGTTTTCTGTTGACAAATATCACCTTTGGGAAAAACGGTTTCAAATCAGTAAGATCACTATTTTCCAATTCTCACATTAAAACATTAAACAGGCATCACTTCATTATTCCAAAGTTAAAATTCAGGTCACTGAATTTCGTTTACGGTAAGGCTAACTCGGAACGACGAAGAAATAAATGAGACAAATTCTTCTTTCCTGGCAGACAACTGAAAAACCTGCATTAAAACAATGAATGAAACAGAATAAGTGTAAACTAATAGCCAGTGGGTCTGAGTCAGATAGTCTCTTTATTTTATCCCCTAACGGTTTATGTTACTTATCGCATAGTATGTCTGGCCTGCGTCACACTCATCTGAGGGTCGTATTTTAGTCAATTACCGTTGTTGCATCAATTGTCTCAGGCCCGAAAAAACTTTTACAGATTGTCCATTCTTTGATTATGAGTGAATTATTTCTCTTGTTATCGTGTAGTCTGATCAAATTGTGTCCAAATCAGAACATAAATCATAATTTCTTTCACGTCAATTCCTTGAAAATGTGAACAAGTAGAGTATAAGTTTGTTCCGGAACTAATTCAATTTTGCGCATGATACTTCTCACGTGCTTCTAGATATTTTATAGACAATTCGGTCAACTGATTTTGTTTTTATTTGCTTCTAATATTCTCAAAAATTACCAACATCCAAGTAACTTGTCACGTGAGTTTGTATAAAACACGTCAATGTCTGATTCGTTTCCCCTACTTTCCTCTCTTCCTTCCCCAAATACCTTTGCAGTCCATCCAACCCATGTTTGCATTCACCTCCAAGGTAGGTCATATTTGGGGGAAATTGAATTAGGCAAAGTGTGAGCTCTCGAGTTGGGACCACACATGCGCGTTCGGTTACTTCCTTTTGTGTTCCTTAGGAAACAGTTGACATGTGAGGAGGTGCCTGATTTTAGTATCTGTGTAATGTTTGCAATCGGTTTTGCGTCGTATACTTTGTGCATATCTGTATATCTTTTCCCTAGTCCAATAATAGGTTTAACACATTTGCTTCTTGTGTCTTTCGTGTCTATATGGTTTCATAACTGATGCCGAACATATTCCGAAGTGGATGGTGAAATTGATGACACATTTGATGACTAATGGCGAAGTGATCACACGAACTCCAGCTCCATCTGTTGCAAAACATCTCATAACAACACGACATACAGCTGTCTCTAATTTGTCTTTCAAAACAATATTACGTAATCGTAAGGCAAAACGTTTGGCAATTAGGGAAGCAATGCTTATCCGATTTTACTCAATGACATCAATTTCATCAAAGATTTTGCTCGTCAGAATCACACGTGTATTAAAAAATGCGTGGGAGATGGGGACATAAGTGGATTTGTAGCGGACTGGTTGTGATGGGTAGCATTTAAAAAATCAGGTCTCATCCGAATGTGAATCGTATAAAAATCGGTTAAGTGATTTTCAAGTGTAATTATCCATTGCACATGTGAATATGGTCAAATTTGCTGTTTTTAGTGTTCGTATTTTGCACATTCCTGTCTTTTGCATCAAAAGTTTCTCAAACTGCTGCATTATAAAATCACTCTGGTATCTTAACCTTACAGTTAGACACACTTGATCGCTCTATTCAACACGATATTGATCCCTATAAGTGAACGGTTCGTTTCTCTGACCGATGTTTGAACGCATACCGGGTGTAATAAGAAGAATCAAGGATTAAGAAAAGAAACGGACAACTTTTTTCTTGGGTGTAATGGAACATCTTAAGTGGTATCATCTTTACAGTTGAGCACCAACCAGTTAGACCGAATCGACTTCGCAGTTTCTCCTTAAGGATCCTGACTTTTATGGTAAGAAGATCATATGGCTTGTAACAGGGGAGTTTGGGTTATTAACTTAACTGGTGTTCAGACGTTTCCAAATAACCCCCTAACTTCACAGATCAAAATGGAGTGAAGTTGAAGATCCGAGTTATTTATTTGTTCTTGTCCACATTGACAAGTGTGAATTGAGCGTGCAATCGATTGATAGAAAGCTTTGATGCAAACAGTGCTGTCATTTGATAACAGTAAAGTGAAAAATATCCGGATCGCCGGTTTCTCTATTTTTCACTCCATGCTTGGACTTCTGACTACGGAAACCGACATTCTTGGAGTGAATAATTATAAACCGCCAGTTCGGATTCACACTCAAAATCAAAATGGTTCCCTTTTTGCCAGGACGGCTTATGCACTGCTCGCGGTTTTCTGTCCGGTTTCTTTTTTGGAAGTGAGTGTCGTAACAGAAGGGGTTAGAACGGTTCGCATTAGTTTGTGAACTTTGATCCAAAGGTTTGAAATAAGGATAACTCATGATTTATTTGTCTGGCGATCATCAAGAAAACAGTAATGCGAGAGAACTTTATGGTGACTTGAACTTGGGCAAATAGAAACATAAGTCCCGCGCAATGTGTGCGCTTGCGGCGGTATGTATTGCACTCAACTATGACACGGAAGGTAACCAGTATTAAAGGTTTTATGGTTTTTAACTGTCTTTTTTGACAGTATTCTTGACACATATGCTTCACAAACCTGAACCTCACACTATTCTGCTTTCTTCTTCTCTGAATACTTGTAGGACATGGTCGCGGTGCAATGTACCTGGTGCAAAGCCAGCTACCATAACCGTCCTTCCTGCTTCAGCGATCGACTGCGTCACGAACCATGTCCATTGGGCACCCACTCTTCTCTGATTGTGCCTCCCAATTGGATAATCAAAATGCCTGAAAAGGTGAGTGTCTTCCAATGCCAACAGAAATGTTTTTGATTTCGGTTTGTTTCATTTGGCTCGTCCGTAACTTACCTATCGAAATTTCACTCGAATAATCCACGGACCGAATACGTTCACTAACCGAATACATTTGGTATACATAGGAAGAGTGAGATGAAAATCTAAGGGGCACCAGGTAGCTGCTTTGATCTAGTTGAGTCTCATCAGCTGTGGGGATCTATCGATGCAATTGGAGTTCGAACCCGAGATCTCACAAACAAGACAGGTGGAACGGGTTATCAGCTTGCCACATACTTTTGTGCCCATATGTGAAAATGTCCAAGGGGGTCGAGTTTCCGCTGTTTGACTCCTATTTGGAGTCAGTCAAACGATGGCTGCAGTAGCTTTATGTGGCATATTGAGAATATTAGCCAGGAGCTTGATGATTTCGTCTACCACTTTGAAGACTGTGTTGTGTACAAGCCGAAATTTGCTTTGCTCTGCGACCCTGTCATCCACACCGGTTTGTTGATAGCGATGTCATATAAAGAATACTTGTGAAAAAAGAAATGAACCGACTGGTTTTTATCAATGAATCAATTCTGGTTCCAGTTTTTAAAACTGTTAAATATGCACTTTCGTGCGCTCAAGATACCAGTTAGAGGTATCGGGAGAATGAAGGCAATACAATATATATTTTGACAATCACTTCTCATGCCCGTACGTTCTATAAAATATGGTGTACGTCTTATGATAATTGTGTACATCAGATCTACCATGGCTCAGTATTGATCATAATAATTACTTGAATTGAGCACAATGCTTATAGTTTTCGTGACGCAAAACAATGTGACACTAATTCAACTTTTTCGTTGGACAGCGTTGGCCGTCACCTAAACATAGGCCGAATGCTCAATGTGCTATTTTGAATCATCATCGTATACCCTTCATCAAGCAATGAATAAATGGTATTTAAAACAACTTATGCTCTTCATCAGATGAAAACGGACTGACATATTTCTGGGCTTTGGGTTACAGAACAATTTCAAGTCGTCCATTCGACGTGCCTCGAGTATGATTTACCCATCCACACAAGCAATCCATCCCCCCAGACTGTGCACATCCACATCGCGGCCGGAGGATTTGGCCACAGTCGCCGAGAACAAGTTGCGAATCAATTCAATTGCAGAACCTACCACTACCACGAACATACCATCAGGCACAACTATAACAATGGTAACAGGTTCAGCAGCGGGGGCCGGAACAATAACAACAACGGCAGTGCTGACGGCTGCAGCGGTGGAAGGAGATGTCACACAACTTAACGCTCCCACCACAAGTCCCGAGGTCACACGCATTTCACCCTCACTCAACGCTTCCAATCTGCTTTTGGCTCCGCAACTCCCGTTCGTTGTCAAAAGCAATCCATTGAGTGCAGACCAGCTAAAGCCTCTTTTGGTGTTTCTCAATCCCCGATCGGGCGGAAATCAGGGTCTAGTACTATTGCGTAAATTCCAGTGGTTGCTCAATCCTCGACAAGTCTTCGATTTGTCCCAAGGTGGTCCACGAATGGGGTGAGTGCGTACAAGGTCTAGGTTTGTACCGTTATCGGATTACAAGCAATGTTCATCCACCTCCCCACCCAGGGTTTCGTTCAGGAGGTTTATAAAAGTTGATGATATCAAATATTTAAGTCATATCTTTTTAAGCAATTGATTTATCTTTACTGGCACATGAAGAGCACTGGACAGCTGATTGTTCCTTTTGGGGATACATCAGTATTGTGCACCGTTTTTACCTGAACTCTTATTCTACGGAAAGCTTTAGTGAAACTTTTGTTTAATTTTATAATACCATTTTTATATTCCAATAATCCAATTTTGTTTTTTGGGACAGTCCTGATGTACACTCGATAACATCGCATATATTGTGTATTCTGTGGCCTTTATATTAGACATTAGGCCTACCCATTCAGACTATAGCCAAACCAAAAGACAAATATATGCTTTAGATTATCATAGTGTTTTGGTTCTCAGGCTGTATTCTGGCTCCCACATTCCAAAATGTTTGCAAATGTCCGTTTCTTAATTTGTCCTTGAACTGCAAACACAGCAGCACAATGTTTCAAAGTTTATCTCTGGAATGATTTCATTCTACTCTCTGAGGTACGTACTATAATTGAACAATATAAGAAAAAATAATAGGTGAGAGTACTGGTGGATGTAATTGGATCACATGATGAATACGTTCGTGAACAGTATCAGTTGAAACTCTGCGAGGTACCGGACAGACGATCGCACTATATCTCATTTTCCTAAACGTGATAGAACAACCTATCTATGCCAGCTAAATACAGCCATCACACCTGGCGCATCCCAGCATGGTACGTTACACTTCTCATTGGTGAACCGTTGGAGTCAAGCATTTTCTTTATTTTGAAAAACAGCAGAAGATATGAGTAAATCTTTCCGCTTTTACAATTCGGATCCCCGTCGTCTGACTGTCGTTGACTATGCAAATTAGGGCAACTGAGAGGTTAATGGGAAGAAAACATTTTTGAACGAGTTATGATCACGCTCACTTGAAGTTCACTCTCGAACAGGCTACGAGTGATCGATGACCATGAGATAAATATACGTGTACCCGTTATTATTACCAATAAAATTGAAAAAATGAACTAAACATTTCATGCTAACAGTTATTTCAATTCGTACTATAAAAACTACAGCTTGGGGTGTTCCCAAGTACAGCAATACATATCCATACCGAAATGTGAGGTTTTTCTTCAGTTCCTAATCCAGAGAATTAACCTGAACGTCAATTAAATTCATCCACACGACGAGCAAAGTACCCAGTCGAACCAGTCGTCACCTACACATGCGGGCTCGTTTAGTCAAGCAGCTGCTTCCGCAATATGTCGAATCCCATTAGTTACACCAATTAATTTGTCTTGGGCAAAATGAATTGGTATCTTGAACTAGCAGACCACATTTTTGTGACAGTCAAGGTCAAATATTTCGCCAACGCCGCATCAACGATCGATCACCACTTATTTGAAGCTGAAAGATACCATTAATATGAAGTTTGCTTTGTATTCCAGCTGTTCGGTTGTTCCAGTTTGGCTTACTTCCCTTATTATCATTAATGAAAATGTCCTCAGTTAAGGGAATTCCTGATGTGGCATTCGTCAATGAATCACCAAAAAGGGAAGGAAAAATTATGCGTTCTGTTAGGACACGGTGCTGGCAATCTTATGATATCGTCTCACGATTATTGGCTTTATCCCTTGTGAGTGTGGTTTTAAATCCACTTAGAATGTAGTCGGCCCAAATATTGCAATATTTTTCTTTTCCATATCCATATTTGACTTGTTTTAATCTTTTCTGGGCACCATTTCAATCACGCGGTCATCGGTTTCAATTTTTAAAACCGTTAAACTTGCACCGATAGATTTTGTTTTTTGTTTTTCAACTATCCTTCTGTTAACGAATTGGAAAGCTTGAGGTAATACGGCTAGAAATACAGTCAAAGTAGGGAAACAGATTTGTAACATGTGCAATTTAGCTGTAAGCAGAGAATGCAATAACTATTAATTGAATAAAGAAAGTTGAATTAAAGGCAGTTATTCTTTTTTGAGGGAATAAAAGGGATACTTGTATCGGAAAAGCAGGCCTTTTTTGCTTTCTTCTTTCTATTTTCTGAACCTTCAAAAAACTTGAAAGTTGAGCGCTTTTTTGAGTTACCTCGGTTCAGCAATGTGTGAGCCGAGTTGTCAGAAACTCACAACAGATTTAACCCACCACAGTCTACCCATCTAGCTTTGAAGCTCGGCAATCCCATGGTTTTGAGTCTCGACCCCCCTTTGTGATATCCTTTTTTATAGGTGAGGGTTACCGGAACCTATCGTTGTACAAACTATTTTTGTGGCTATAGAAACTCGCCCTTTTCAATGGTTTTCTTAGTAAGGCTTGTCATCCTAATGGCAGCTGAACTGGTCTTTGTATTCGTTCGCAGATTTATTCGATTTGAACTTGCAAATATTTATCATTCTTGGTTAACAGTTTAAGCAAAAAGGTGCGTTCACTACGGAAGGTAACTGGACACTTATCGGAAGGCATGCTCAACTGAACTCACCACAGTATTTCTTGATTCTCTGAGTACTTAAATGTGATAGCGCAGTGTGTAACTGCAACGTTTTTACGAATTCGGATAACTCCATTTTCCATTGTGCCAATGAGATTTATTGGACCGCATTTCGTACCACTATTTGTCTTCTCCACTTGAAATTACAGTTTCAACGAGAATGGAAATGAATCGGAACTTTCGAAACTCGTATCTGGCGTCAGTGTCCTTCTTTTTTCTAATGTTTGTTGTTTCATATGTTGTGTGTGCGTGTGTCAGTCAGTGTGATTTTTCTCAACATTTAGCGAGTAAACCTTATTTTTCACCATTCCGCTCTGCATCTGTTAAAAATGCATATTCTCTTTTTCTTTCATTTGCATACAGACTAGAATTGTTCAACCGTGTTCCCAATTTACGTATATTAGCCTGCGGTGGGGATGGCACCGTTGGCTGGATATTCTCAACCATAGACGAGCTCAAAATGAATCCCACACCTCCGGTTGCCGTACTGCCGTTGGGCACTGGGAACGATTTGGCCCGAACCTTGCGTTGGGGAGCGGTGAGTATCGGTGTGTTTATGCGTGCCTGTTTGTGAGCGATTTCGTTTTAGAACAAAAACATAAATAGACCATTCATATTCCTTTATTCATTTGTCCATCCCTCTATGGTCTTAATATTTCACGCGTGCGCGCGTGCGTGCGTGTATTTAAATGTGTATGCGTGTTAAGCTGGCACGTTTCTCGGGAACCGGATCTGTAGATATATCTTTTTCTCGTTCCGGACCCAGCGATGAGAACGTTCCGACAAAAAACTGAGTGATAGAATGAACGTGAGCAATTTATGGTCACTAACTCTGCTGAATTTCTTGGATTCATTATTCAACCTCACGCAGTTCCTTGGAGATCCAAGGATTAAATGAATGCGTTTTTGATTGGTGTGCTTCTCTACATCCTTTCTTGATGGGTGTGTAATTTGGTCATAGATGAAACTGACCGATCTTATTTCCAGTTTGCATATCTTATAAAATCTTGAGAGTAGATTATAATAGAGAACTTGTACACATTTAACGTATAACTGATAATGAGCCAAAAATTTCTGCCTGTTCGCTTACATTGGCAATTATTTTGCAAACGTTTCATCGTCAACTGAGGTCACATCCTTAGTAATAATGATGAGGTAGCGTTCTAGTGATGTCCGTTCATCTAGCTCGCTTCTTCTTTAGCTATCTAATGGTCCATTATTCTCACTGTTCCCAACCTACTGTGTAGATCATAAGTTCGTTGATAGGGGATTGCTTTCTAACGCAAGACGTATCCCATTCCAACACGTTGGAACATTTGCTCAAGCAATTAACCGAGTGATAGAATGAAAAACGGATAGCTCCTAACTTTCGTACGTAATTGTCAATACGAGTACAAGACACATATTTGGTAGGTTTATCTCATGCACGATAGATCACATCATGAATCAATAATAACTCTCAGGTTACCTAAACAAATCGCCTTCTCGGTCGATGCGAACTAAACACCTTTTCCTATACCGCAGGTCAGATCATTTAGCCATACATCAGGGCTCTACTGAGGTTGAACCAAGGCTCGTGCCATGGTGTCATTAAAATTTGAATAATACTAGAAGCACACTAAAAAGTCAGCGATTCCGCTTGATTTTGCTGATTCACTAACAGGTTAATATATCAAGTTCCAAGTAGAACTAATTTAAAAGAAGCAGATCGAACCATTTGAACATTATCGTGGGGGACGGGTCGCGGGCGTCTGAAGTGGTTTGATTGCACAAGGAGTTTAAATGACGCTTTTCGCTCCCTCCACTGTATGCTTGGGGTTATCTGTCTCAAGCGATAAAAGTTTCCATCTTGGATTCTGTTTACATATTCATCTGTTCGTGGACGCGCTTCAAAACAATTTTCGAAATCAGTCTTACATGGACCTTCTCCGGTCCAGTGATAATGTTTTACTCTCTATCCCAATATCATAAATAACCCAGTCTGGGTATACCTATAAACCCGTATTTAAGCACATCTGCTTTATGGAACGTACATAAACTCCGTCCCCACCGGCGGTCCGACTTCTAACTCTCTTCTTCTTCCTGTCCACAGAACTGAGGGAATGTAAAATGTGATGCATTATCCAGCGGATGAATCACCCGAAAAAGGCTTTACACTAAAATAAATATACGGGCTTTCAATAGCATCAAAACCTATGGCAGTGTCAAAACCTACCATGCACGTCCTCGGTTTACCATTCATCCATTCATATGGTTTGGTGAATGCGTCCGTGTCGAATCTCTTTTCAGGTTTGGTCAGCTATTCAGCTCTATTTTCTCCCCAAATTTTGAATAAGCTTATACCTGTATGGAGCAAGATGAAAAAAGGCAAGGTTTTTGTCGTCTTGAAAATCGCACCGCAAGTATTTAATGAACAATCTTATTTCGCCTAACAAAATTTTATTTTTTCTTACTTTGTCATTCACAGGGCTACGCGGACGAGCCAATCTCCAAAATTCTACGCAGTATTGAAGAGGGCACCGTGGTCGCTTTAGATCGGTATGTTCAGTGAAATATCAATACATTGGTCAGAGTGACAGTCAGTTGGTAGTGAGTGCGTGGTTCGATGGATGGTTGGGTGTGAGAGAATTAATTCAGTGGTTGATTCAATTCATACAGCGTTGAAATCCTGGGTCTACGTTGACTGTAAACCGTTTAGGTTATTAAATACACAGAGAAAAAACAATTGATACGTGGGAGCGCATTCCTGTCAATTGAAGTATAATTATCAGTATTGTCGGTAGTATTAGCAGTAGTAATACAAATATCATAGATTTTGTCCAGTTGTACCGGATGGTTCAGGAGTTTTCCAACAGATTTTAAAGTGAAATCAATCGAACTATGGTTCATCGACCCTTTAAGTCGACCAAACTGGGTCTCATGTGAATAGCACGACCACAACTCGTGAACCCATTTATTCACCAAATTAGATTCAAATTGAACGATATGTTTTGACCGTTCGTTTCTCGAGAAATCAGCTTAACAAGTCCTAGTATTTGACAGAGGGCTACCAAGTGCTCTGATCTGGGTTTCAGGAAACCAGAGAAGATTTCAGACGACTCAAATTGCTTAAGCGAAGGCCAGCCGCTTCGAATGAGAAAGGATACAAATTCCATTGATCAGAGAAGAACGCATTGGGCTTGCAATAAGCGAATGAGCGGAGAGGAGCTCCGAAATAATGCTATTAAGTTTCACTCTGATTCGCCAAAAACGCTACGAATAAATCACGATGAAACTTCATTCCTTCCTTCGTGTGACGTTTGTCTTTGGAAATACCCAGTAGATATGCGGGAAAACGGATATCATTTGAGCAAATAAAGATGCAACCTCAAAATAAATTGGGCGGTGGTGCTCCGGGAATTAAAGTGAGCAAATTAGCGACCGGTATTCGAACCCATTCCCATCCGCCAATCTTCACTAATGGTATATATGCCCAGGTAGCATTCACCTTAACGCAACCCCCTTCCTGAACACATTGTTCATCTGTTTACAGAATAAATAAAAAGAAAGCTCAACATTATTCGTACTACACCCTAAATATATGCATCCAACGAACAAATTGTGCATATTACTCATTACCAGTGCTAGTGATCATGCGTTTTAAATTAGACACTATGGATGAAGCAAAAAGCGTGAGATGTTTTCATGACATTGCAATCAGATCATTTCATTTCAGTTCAGTTTAAACAACCAATAAGCATGCATTTCCTTGCGACGCTTTTGGTTGCTGCTTTTTGGCTATCCATTTGAGTGAACAATGGGAGGAAACCAGAAAGGTTGAAAGTAGGATCGAAGAGAAAATTGAAAACTTCAGTGGCCTGGAATCAGACAATAACTTAATATTTTCGTATGAAAATCCTAATCACTGAAATCGATCTTGTCTTCCTGCATGGGAGCATCGTGATCCTAATCAATGAGTGGATTACCCACCCACTAAGATTAGGTGTCGCAAATTTAGTCTCACCGCGCTCTCTTTCACACTTGTTGAGCACAACTAATATTTATCGCAAACATCTTGACTTTCAAATACTGTTATTTCACTGTTGTATACTCTAGGTGAACAGAGAATATTAAATGAAACTCGCGCATGAGTTCGTGATATTGATGTTTCACGGAAGATTCCCATATGAATATCAAAAGC